GAAAGAGAGTTTCCAATAGTTTCCTTTTTTAGTGCAATCTAGAGGACATTGTCACGGTGGTTCTATGAGTGTCGTACAGAATCAGATAATTTTACCACAACCGTTGTTCTGTCAACTGAAAAATTATTGCGAGAACGTTTGGAACTATCAAATGCACTGTTTTCTTATCCTCTCAATGCTCAAGAGTTCACTGTGCATGGCCATGGTCCGGTTGCCCTAGTTAACCTTCTCAGTAAAACTTGCAATTGTAAAGTGCTTGGCATTCAACGTTTACCTTGTCCTCCTGTAGTAGCAGCACTAAAACACCAACAGAAGTCGAATTTTGGTTCAAGAATTTACATGGAACTTTGCTCCCCTCTCTGTATGGCAAATCACTACATGTTGACTTATTTGGAAACGATATATCCAGTTCCTCCATAAGAGCAGTGGGTGGTGCTACTAGAGTTGGTTGACATTATCATCCATCTGCCATTAAAGAAGATAGAAAATGGGAGAAAAAGAGTTACGTGTATTCCATCAACCTGTGAGGTTCCCCAGAGGATGAATAAGTGCTCTATTTGCAAGCAACCTGGCCATAAGAAAAGCAGTTGCCAGAATCAATCACATGCAGATCCAGAAAATTAGGTTCGAATCGGTCAGATGCAAGAAAGCAAGCAACATGTCGTAAGATCTACAGATAAGATCAGGTATGGAAATTGGACTTAGAGTTTTGTAGTTTATGTGAAATGTATTTCTTATTGGGTTGTCTTGAATAAATAGATTGTCTTGAATTGGATCAGCTGGTGTTGTTAGGCGTCAGGCTTTTGATATTTGGGTTGTGATGCTATATATGCTTTGTGGCCAAGCCCAAGGTTGGATAATGTTGGAAGGGGTACTATAGAAGAAGTCGAAAAGGTTGCTGCTGATGCTGATGCTGAAGGTGTGCTGAATAATTGTGGAGGATAGGAATGTCTGAAGAGAATGATGAAGAGGAAGGATGGAGGTTGCCGATGGTGCTTTTATTTTAGGTGTATATAGGACATTTATTTGTTGTATATAATGTTGTAATTTAATGTAATTGACACATTTCAGATTTGTACAAAAGCAATTCAATATTTCTTTCCCTCTTTTGAGTTTGAGTTTGAGTTTATTTAGTATTCTTGTTGATTGGCATTAATATGTTGATGCAATTAGGTTGTCAAATTCAGGAAAAAAGATGAAATTAATATGTGTTGGTGTATTTAGTTTGTCAAAATTCAAGAGAAAAGCTGGAAAAAATAAGTGTTGCCCACGATCGCTTAGATGACTATATATATCGCTTAAGCGATCAAGGGTTTTCTATACAAGATCGCTTAAGCGAGACATTAAATCGCTTAACATCGTGCATCTGGGATGATTTTGTTTCTGCCTAGGACTGATCGCTTAAGTGACCAAGGCTAAAATCCAAGAATCACTTAAGCGAGACCATAAATCGCTTAAGCAATCATGCATCTAGGATGATCTTGAATCTTCCTTAGACTTGATTGCTTAAGTGATACTAAATCGCTTAAGTGACTAAGGCTAAAAGTGAAGAATCGCTTAAGCAAGAACATAAATCACTTAAGCGATTGTGCATCTAAGATGATTTTGATTCTGTCTTGCACTTGATCGCTTAAGTGACCAAGGCTAAAAGTGAAGAATCACTGAAGCGATACATAGATCGTTTAAGCGATAATGCGTCTGGATGATCTTCATCCAGCCTTAGACTTGATCACTTAAGCGACCATGTGTAAAAGTGAAGCATCACTTAAGCGAGAACCTAAATCGCTTAAGCGATCATGCGCCTAGGGTGACTTGATTATGCCTTAAACTTGATTGCTTAAGCGATCATGCATTGCTTAAGCGACCAAGGGTAAAAGTGTAGAATCGCTTAAGTGATCTTGATTATGGCTTCTACGTGCTTAAATGACTATGCATCTCTCAAGCGACTAAGGGTAAATATACTGGATCGCTTAAGCGAGATCTAAAATCGTTTAAGTGATCTAGTATATCTGGATGATTTTTATTATGCCTTTAACAAGATCACTTAAGCAATTTGTATTATCGCTTAAGCGACGAAGGCTTATAAACACTAGATTACTTAAGCGATAAACCAACCGCTTAAGCAATCCCTTTTTTTTCTGGAATAGGTTATCAACCCCATATTAAGTGACGTTAATGTGAACTTCGGATATTCACAACATCACATGATTAATAACGTTAACGTTAAGTGACATCAGTTGTTAATACATATTAAGGCCAATCAAGAAGGATTATTTGCAACATAATTCCATTAACACATATTAAAGTTACAACCGTATAATATATGGATGAATGTCATAGCACACTAGTGTGACACATTAGTAAAAACGAACCTCATTTCACAAATATGGATGGTGTATTTCAGAATGATTATTGTGCTCTTTTTTCTAACCAAAATGCAGTCAAATCTTGTATGATGTGGGGGGAATATATTGAAATAAGCTTGAATTGTGACTGTACGATTAGTTCAGTGGACCATTATCTGTCTTGTGTCAACTAATTTGATTATTTATATCACTTAATCATTTTTAATTAAACTAATTTATTTACGTGTGTAGATAAACATGGAAAAGAAATATTAAAGTATAGAATGATTCTATATAACACAAATTTTAATGTTTTTACAGTATCAAAGTAAATTAGGCTTGATCGTTTAAGCAATGTATGGTTTTGCGTAAGCGATCCTGTATATTTAGCCTTGATCGCTTAAGCGATGTATGTTATCGCTTAAGCGATCTTGTCAAAGGTAGTATAAAGATCATCCTAATATACAGGATTGCGTAAGCGATCTAGTATATTTAGCCATAGTAGGCCTGGTCAACGGGACGAACCGCTCGCGAGCCAGCTCGACTCGGCTCGAGTCCGGCTCGTTAACGGCTCGGTTTGTTTTATTACGAGCCGGCTCGACTCGGCTCGTGAGACAAAATGAGCCGAGTTCGAGCCATACAAGGCTCGGCTCATTTGGCTCGCGAGCCGCGCCTGGCTCGAAATAGCGGGAGGTTATATGAGATTTTGTAAACTATTGGGATTTAATTGAAACTAACGCAAACAAGTTTTCAAATATAACAAAATAGCACCCTGTATTAAAATCCCCAAATCGCGAAAAATCTTCAGCAGTAGAACCATGGCCGTAAAATTTGAATCAAATCCTCCCAAAGTAACGATTTCGGCCAGTTCTTCTTCATCGTCGTCAGCTTCGCGGGATCTTCGTGGGATATAGTTCATCTTCGTCACACCGTCGGTAGCCGTTGGATCATCTTCATCGTCGTCAAACGTTGGATCTTCGTCATCGTCGTCAACCGTTGGATCTTCGTCAGCCGTTGGATGTTCGTCATCGTCATCAGCCGTTGGATCTTCGTCATCGTCGTCAGCCGTTGGATCTTCGTCAGAACTTCATCTTCTTCGTACGAGGTTCACCAGATTTGAATCGTCTTCGTCAGAGTTGATGTTTCTTCGTCGGTTCGTCAACATCTTTGTCGGATTTTGGTCTGGCTTTAATTAGTGAGTAGGGGGTTTATTCATCATCTGCTATTGTCGTTTGTTTGGGGTTTCTTAAATTTTGGTCAGATTTTAACTTGTTTTTTCATGAATTTTTTGTTTGTAACAGGGGGCTTTTTTCGGTGAAAGAATTCAGGAAGAGCAGACTGAAATTGGTTTACTGGTGCCTGGTGGTTGACTGTGGTGGTGACGTGGTGTTGCTGTGAAACCCACACAAGGTTAATGTTTGTGTACTATCTGTGAAGAGTAGTGCCGTGTATTGTTTATTTAAATTGTTTTATTGAAATTGAAATTGTTTGTGAATTGAGATTTGAGATTGTGGTTGTGTTGGGACAACCACAATCTCAAATCTCAATTCACCAAATTGTTTGTTAATGGTTGACACTTGACAGGTTGTTATTTATAAATTTGTTTGTGGGAATTTGGTTATGGGATTTTGCATTTGGTGGTGGGGACTGGCCAACTGGTAGTTATAAATATGTTTCTGGCTTGTTGTGGGAACGTGGTCCTGCATCTGGTGGTGGGGACTGGACGATTTAAATATGACTTTCTGGCTTGTGGGAATGTGTTGGTGTGGGGTAAAGAAAAAAGAGTCAGTGTCTTAAAGATGACATTTATGAAGGCATAGAAAATAGAATATTACACAACATGATGTAAACTTTGTACCTCATTCTTTATAGCTCTAAAAAGAAAGTATACTCTTCTGTCCATGGAGAAAATCTGAGTCAAAGAATAAAAATGGAAATGATAGGAAGAAATACTTAATAATCTTTCATTTTGATTGTACAGAAGGAATATGCAAGCCCTCTCTTGATTAATGGAAATGATAGGAAGAAATACCAACTTTTTTGTATTATATAGTTATACTTGAAATGCTTGACCATATTATTCAATACCCACCAGCTTGTCAAAGCTTTATAAAATAACATGAACCCAATATGCATGGCAGCACATAGTCCAAGACCAAGGCCCCATACTGAAGTCTGATTCTCATCTCTCATGCATGCACACAAGTGTTGTGCGGCCACATTGCTCAATCAAATTCAAACTTTTTTTTGTTAAAGCCAAAAAGGGTAGCAAATTTTCTGCACTGATTGGAAAAAGAAGTGAATGGATTGGACATTAAAGAAAATAAAGCATTATGTACCCTTTCAATTTATTTACATAAATGAAGTTTATATATGCAACTTTAATGAATTCAAAATAGAACATGTGAGTTGCAAATGAAAGTGAGACAAATTTCAAAATATAACATGTGAAACTTAATCAAACATGATACAAAACCAATATCTCTAATTAAAGAATAAATGAATGTTGGGATGTATTGGTGACAATTAATATTGGTGTGCAATGTATAATGTATTGGTTTGATGTGTGTGCAATGTAATAGTTTGACATTATTTCATATTGGTTTTGCATTAAATTGTTGAATTTTTTTTTTTTTTCGATTTATATGTTTGTAAATGGAGGTTAATTCCTTAAGTACCCCTGCAATACACGATACAATTACCGATACACCTGGTATTAGTAGCCCGGATAATGGTGATGAAAATCAAAATCCGATTCAGAAGCAAAAAAGAGCGAAGACTTCAGTGGCATGGTCGGAGTTCAAGGAGGTGGTACTCCCTAATGGCACCAAAAAGGCTGAGTGTATCCATTGCAAAGTCAAGTTGATTATTAATGCAACCGGAAGCACCACCCAGTTCAATAGACATTTAAGCCGGTGTTTAAGAAGAAAAGCTTCCATGAGGCAACAACATATTAGTTTTCCGACTGCCGGTAATAATGTTCCAACTACTATTTTGCCAGCTTTAAGTGGGAAGTTTGACATGTCGAAAATGAGGGAATTGATCGCCCATTGGGTGCTTATGCATGAGCATCCATTTACAGTTGTGGAGGAAGAGGGCTTGAACAATATGATGAAGTATGGGATTCCTGGATGGACTTCGGTTTCCCGCCACACTTGTAAAAAAGATTGTATGAAGGTATATGAAAGTGAGAAGGCCAAATTGAAGACTTTGTTGAAGACTGTGACAAAAATCAGTTTGACTACAGACTTATGGAATTCAGGGAATCAAAAGATGGAGTATATGGTGTTGACCGGGCATTGGATAGATAGTACTTGGAGGCTTAATAGACGTATCCTCAACTTTGTTCGTCTACCTCCTCCTTGGACTGGTATTGCGATTGCGGATGGCATTTTCAAGTGCCTAATGGGATGGGGAATTGAAAATAAGATATATACTATTTCTGTGGATAATGCTTTAAGTAATGATGTTGCGATTAAGGTTTTGAAGGAAAATTTTGAAGTTTCGGGGAAACTCCTTTGTGGAGGTAAACTGTTTCATGTGAGATGTTGCGCACATATCTTGAATCTGATTGTTCAAGATGGACTTCATCAAATTAGGCACATCATTGACGACATCTATGAGAGTGTGTTGTATATCAACAGTTCTGAAAGCAGACTCAAGGTATTTTCTGAGATTGTTCAACAACTTAAATTGCCGTATCGGAAACTTATTGTTCATTGTAAAACAAGGTGGAATTCTACCTATGAAATGTTGGCAATAGCAATTAAGTTCAAAAAGGTTTTTCCAAGAGTGAAAGAGAGGGATATCAATTATCATAATAATCCGAGTGACGAGGATTGGGAGAAAGTGGAGAAAGTTTGTGAAGTTTTGAAAGTATTCAGTGGTTCAACCAAACTCATTTCAGGAAGTGATTATCCGACGTCTAATTTATTCTTGAAGGAGGTGTGTGCAGTGAAATGTATGTTGGATAGTAAAAGTGAATCTGAAGATGAATTTATTAGAGTAATGGTTAGGAAAATGAAACAGAAGTTTGATAAATATTGGGGGGAATGTAATGTATTGATGTCTGTGGCTGCTATATTGGATCCTCGATTGAAAATGAGGGTTATTCAGTGGGCATTCCCTAAGATGTATTCTGAGGCAGAAGGACGGGCAAATATGGTGACGGTCCGGGATGTATTGTATGAGTTATATGGGGAGTATGTTCAAGCTAACCAAGGTGTGACTATCGCCCGTGCTTCTACATCACAAGGGGATGGACATGGAGCCATTGATGAGGTGGCTGTGGTTGAGGGAGCCAAGGCCTGGGATGATTTTAGCACTTTTCTGGACGTGGTTGAAACTGTTGAGCCTAGTCAGTCTGAGTTGGACTGTTATTTGGGAGAGGGATGCCATAAGTGTGTGGGGGATCATGACTCATTCGATGCCTTACAGTGGTGGAAGGCAAATTCAACCAAGTTTCCTGTATTGTCTAGGATGGCTCGAGAGATACTAGCCATCCCGATCACAACGGTTGCTTCAGAGTCTGCATTCAGTGCTGGGAGCAGGGTTATTGATAGTTACCGAGCTTCTTTGTCACCAGCTACGGTGGAGATGTTGTTATGTGGATGTGACTGGTGTCGCACTTTGAATGGAGTGAAGAAAGGGTGCAAAGTAAGTTCCATTGCTTACATGTTTTGTTTAATTCTATATTTAAAATAACTTTATTCTAACCTATAGATTATTTTTATCTATTTTTCATCTTAGAAAGAGGAGGATGAGAATCACTTGGAGATTCAGCTTCCTGTTCTATCAGGTGATGGGAGTCAGCAGATTGGTTGATTCACTCGTGAGTTATTGGCTGTGGCAGTAGGATTCTGCAGGTCAATATTTATTACTTCTGTGTTGAGGTTTGCATTTTCATCTTTATGGTTTATATAAAATGACAATTATACTTACTATGTTTCACATTAATTTGTTTGTAGGAGGAGTGGGGCTACAATAGACATACAGCCAATTATCTTTTGCTATTATATATATTTTTTGATGGATGGGGATGTCACTTGATGTATAGTTATGCTAATCCCCTATTTTGTTTTTGTGAAAACTTTATTAAGTCAAGTGAACTAAACAAAAATTATTTAGTTCACTTAACTTAATTTGTGGTATATATAGTATGTTAAATGATAAATTGTTAATAGCAGTAGTATTTCATTTAATATTGATTTTACGTAGGTTTAACTGTTGGGTGATATATGAGAAAAATAAATCAGTTTGACAAAATAAATGAAAAGTGAAAAATTTAACAAAATGAATTAGAAATTAGTGATTCTTCCTCTGCCCAGCAAATTAATGAAAAGTTAAAGTAATTCGCCTGGCATATTTAAATATTTTAAACTAGATTTTATCATTTTCAATTTTGAACATTGATTCAGCTTCAAAGTGAAATTATGATTTCAATTTATTTGAATATGAATTTAAGACAATCAGACCTTTAGAACGGCAGCCCAAGGAATTTTTGTAAAAAAAATTGAATTAAAAACAAAAAAATTTAGCTTATTTGGACATAGCTCGCGAGCCGGCTCGAAATCGGCTCGATAAGCCGGCTCGCGAGCCGACTCGAAATAGGCAAAATCTAATGCCGAGCCGAGCCGAGCCACAGAATTTCTGGCTCAGCTCAGCTCGGTCTCGGCTCGTTTAATTCTCTTCTCTCACGAGCCGAGCTCGTTAAGCCAAAAACTTGGCTTGGCTCGGCTCAGCTCGATAACACTCCTAAGCCATAGTCACTTAAGGGATCACATACAAGCCAGAATCAAAATTTCTTAAGTGACTCTTCACTTTTACCCTTGGTCGCCTAAGCAATACATGATCGCTTAAGCGATCATGTCCAAGGCAGAATCAAGTCACCCCAGGCACACGATTGCATAAGCGATTTAGGTTCTTGCTTAAGCGGTTCTTCGCTTTTACATTTGGTCGCTTAAGTGATCTTTAATTGCTTAAGCGATCAAGTCCAAGGCAAAATCAAGATCATCCCAGATGCACGATCGCTTAAGCGATTTATTTGTCTCTTAAGCGATTCTTCACTTTAGCCTTGGTTGCTTAAGCGATCAAGTCCAAGGTAGAATCAAGATCATCCTAGATGCACGATCGCTTAAGTGATTTACGTATTGCTTAAGCAATTCTTCACTTTTAGCCTTGGTCACTTAAGCGATCTTTAATCACTTAAGCAATCAAGTCTGAGGCAGAATCAAGATCATCCCATATGCACGATCGCTTAAGCAATTTATTTGTCACTTAAGCGATTCTTCACTTTTAGCCTTGTTCGCTTAAGCGATCAAGTCCAAGGCAGAATCAAGATCATCCCAGATGAACAATCACTTAAGCAATTGATGTATTGCTTATGTGATTCATCACTTTTAGCCTTAGTCGCTTAAGCGATCAAGTCCTAGGCAGAATCAAAATCATCCCAGATGCACGATCGCTTAAGTGATTTAGTGTCTCACTTAAGCGATCCTGTATAGAAAACCCTTGATCGCTTAAGCGATATATATAGTCACCTAAGCGATCGTGGGCAACACTTATTTTTTCCAACTTTTCTCCTGAATTTTGACAAACTAAAATCACCAACACATATTAATTTCATCTTTTCTCATGAATTTGACAACCTAGTTGCATCAACACATTAATGCCATTCAACAAGAATACTAAATAAACTCAAGCTCAAAAGAGGGAAAGAAATATTGAATTGCTTTTGTACAATTCTGAAATGTGTCAATTACATTAAATTACAACATTATATACAACAAATAAATGTCCTATATACACCCAAAATAAAAGCTCCACCAATAGCCTCCATCCTCCCTCTTCATCATTCTCTTTAGCCACTTCCCCATCCTCTACAATTATTCAACACACCTTTAGCATCAGCAGCAGCAGCCTCTTCATCTTCTTCTACAACACCCCTTCCAACATTATCCAGCCTTGGCCTTACCATAACCCAAGTACCAACAACCTGATGCCTAACAACACCAATGTATGGGCCAAAATTCGTATTGGGCTTAACAAGGTCTAATCGCAACAATGATATGTGATGGCCTAGAGCCTTGGCCCAATCCCGAATGGACCCACACTTAGAATACCTTGGGAATAGGATTATTCAATGAGGCGAGCTAGCTCGGCTTGGCTCGACTCGAGTATGAGCCTGCCTTAGCTCGGCTTGGTAGGCTCTCGAGCTAAGCCAGGCTCAAATTATTAGGGGGGTTTTTAAGGTTTTTTTAAAGTATGGGGGATTAAACTAAAATTTTCAAAACAAAAAGTTTGCAAAAATAACAAAATTGATGTTAAAATCCCTAAAAACGCAACTGAAACCCATTCGCCAGCGAATCCAAACCAAATCAGACTGAAAACAAGAAGAAGAAGATGGGACGAAGGGGAAAGCATTCAAAACCAAACAAATCAAGCAAAGTGTTGTTCAAATTTGGTAAACAAGTCAAGATGCCATTAGGGTTTTGTGTGCTGCCATTTTGCTTCTCTGTGAGGTTCCTCTTTTGTCTTCTCACTAGGGAACCTTATTGGTGCTGGTGATGGCATTGTTTTTGGGTAGGTTATGCGATTTTGTTTTTGGTTTTTTCTTTTTTCTTTTTTGTTGGTGGTTGGAAGGTGGGACATGTGACTTTGTTGGTGAGTGCTCTGGGATTATGTTTTTTTGTTGGTTGTGTCATGTAGTGGTGTGGTTCTCTTCATGGACAAGGAGGCAAGGCTTGGAGGCTACTGGAGTTTTTTTTCTTGGAGTTTTTGCAAAAGATGGGTGCTTGGCAGGTGGCTGGTGTTAGCGATCTAGTGTGTAACTTCTCTGTTGGCTGGTCTGCTGCTGGTTCCTGATTTTCGTTCAGCTGGTGTGTGGCTATAAGAGTGTTTCATGTGGTCTCTTAGAGGTGGTTTTGACATGCTGGTGGTTGGGTTCTCTGCTCTTGGGTTTTAATTTTTTTTTTTTAAACTGCATTTTTTAAACCCCAATAAAAATGAACAAATGGCAAGCGACTCCTTCAGTCCTTTTCTGTGCCATGTATTTTGTTTCTTACAAAAAAAAAAATTTAATTGTCTCATCCCTCTTTCTCTTTCTTTACTCTTCTTTTGTTAGGTCCCTCTCTCTCTCTCTCTCTCTCTCTCTCTCTCTCTCTCTCTCTCTCTCTCAAACTCAAAGCTCCATCATTATTAAATCTTCTTCACAGCACAACACAGATCTAAAAACCAAACCAAACCCTCTTCTTCTTTTTTCTCTTTTTTGTTTTTCTTTTTCTGTCAACACGGCCGAGTCAGAGTCCTTGAACGATGTCGTCTTTTGGTTACCTTATAAGTTTGAAGATATATTTATCATGGATAAGGAAAAATGAATTTTTGTTGTTGGTTGGCGAGCCGACTCGAATTCGGCTTTTTTATTCTGGCTCACGAGCCAAGCTCGAACTTGGCTTTCCCCTTCAACGAGCTGACCGACCAATAATTTTTTGACTTGGCTCGGCTCGAGCTCGTTTTCCTTTTTCTTTTCACAAGTCAAGCTCGTTAAGCCAGAAACTCGACCCGGCTTGGCTCGTATTTGGAACTTCCTGCTCTATGAGTTGGGCCATCTCCCGAGTTAAGCTGAACTGGGTCTAACCCATTTGCCTGCAGCAGTCCATAACAAGGATCAGAATCCTAACTAAATTCCTTCTGATAAGATCTTGTATCTCACCCCAAAAGGAAAGCCTTGACAGATAAAGGCAAAGAATCCAATCTCTTCCCGAAAAAGAGAGTTCCCCTACCAAGTAGGACTCAGAGTCTTACTAGGATACGAGCCCCTAAGGTTTACGATATAAACTGAGGCTGGTCCTCGGCGGAAGGGGGGAAGGACAGAAGACATCACCCTTAAGCTCTAGTTCTCATATTGCCAAACCCATTATCCACTTCAATTTCCTCGCATCGCCAGAGGCCCCCACAGAGCCGCAAGGAGACTCCTCGCAGGTCCATCAAGGTTGTCAGTGGCTCTCTTCACAAGACTATCTTCAATTGTAAATTTTAGCGTTTACAACCATGTAACACCTCCTCTCTACTACTATTCTTATAATACATACTATGTAAATTATAGATATATATAGCGTATGAAAGATAGTGGGCTCAAATTTTTTCTTTACTCATAAAATATAATTCTTTACAAATACAAAATACTATGTATTAAAAACTTTCTACTTAATACAAAACATCATAGCTGGTGGACAGTGGTGCCAATACTCTCCGCTCCTCGATGTCCATCCGACCGCTACTCCTATTTCCTGCAAAACAGGGAAGAACAATGGGGTGAGCACAACAATGCTCAGTAAGTAAATCCTCTACTACCTGTCTCGGCAACTCACTTTTTGGTTCTTCCTATCGTTCTTCTATTTCTAATTCTCACTGTTTTTCTCTTTCTTTCTAATACTTTTATTCTCCTTTAACTCTGTTCTGCTCTTTTTATTCTTTCTTATTCTCTTTTCTCCTTCTCTTATTCTTACTCACCATAAAGGAAAATCATGGTTCTCTCTTATTCTCATCATACTCACCATGAAGGAAAATCATGGTTCTCTCTCTTATTCTTGTCATACTCACCATGAAGGAAAATCATGGTGCATGCCTGTATGAGCTATACATGCAATTAATACAAAAGAACTACATGTTTCTTTCTTCTACTCTCTATTCTTACTAGCTCAAACTCTCTCATTCTTTCTCATACTCTCTCTTTCTATCTCATTCTTTCTCAAGCTTTCTCAAGCTTTCCCATTCTTTAATTCTCTCTATTATCTCGTTCTCATTTCTCATAATTCATTTCTACT